AAATTCGCGATTTTATTCCATTCTCAAGGCTTGTTGGCTTCGACAAAGACATTTGTGTTTGGAAGTGGTAACATAAATATCACACAGGTATTATTAATTTTTTTATTATTTATTAACTTCTGCATCCATGTTAAATCATTGTCCAAGACACTAGCCTTTATGTCAGAAACAAAGTTAAACGGTCTGAAATGTCTGTGGTTGACGGATGTCGAATTTATGTAGTTATTTACCGCTTTTAGGCTTAAGAATGTCTCAAAATATAAGCATGCCCAAACTGTATTAATCCCAAAGTAAGTAATAAGACTTTAAATATAATTTAAAACTGCACTTATGCAATATATACATATATTCAGTTCAAAATAGTTCAACGTTCAAATAATAACAAATAGTTTAGTGAAACAGAAACCAGCCCTAAATTGACTCTACATGTTTCAACGCTCTTACACTACCATCTTCATAAGTAAGAGTTCCAATCCAAACAGTGGCGGAAATTTAGGTTTAAGATCTTTCAGGCCTCAAAGAAAACCCGGGATGATCGGAAACTTTCGTTTTTCTTCACCCTTAAGAGTTGAAGTTAGGTCATGACTTATATACTACATAATTATTTGCATTCCTTTGGCGCCATCTAGACTTAAAACACCCATAGTTCACAAAACGTATGCCCTCTACCCTATTTCTTATAAACCTGGACCAACTTCTTTATTCAGCACAAAATCGTTGTTTTTTTTTAATCTCTATAGTTTCTCTAATATATATGTATAATAATACTTCCTTGTTTTTTTAATTATATTTCTTTCTTTCTGTTTTATATTTTATTTATGTAACCTATGAACAATGATTATTATATTCACAAAGTTGGAATACTTTTTGTTTTAAGACTGGTTTGGTCAGAACTATAGAAGAGGAGAATAATGTGTAATAACTTTAAAGACATGGTGTGAATATTGATTAAATATAGCGCCATCTGCTGGCTTGTTCTTAAACTATAATAAAGGCTTCTATACCGGAGCATGGAGGTATCGACCTCTATTTCTGTTAACAAGACTTGGTCTTGAATATGGTATACGCCATCCATCTAAATACCTGTACTTTTGTTCTACGTTTAAAATTAATTTCTCAAACTAAAGAAAGTAAACGTGTTACAAGTGCCTTTCAGTACACAACCAATAGATGTTCGATTTTTAATATTTTCAAAAACGAGACCTAAAACTCGAGCGCTTTCGAATGGTTGACTATTCTTCTTGAGGAGAATAAAGGAGAACAGTCAACTATTCGAAAGTGGTCGAGTTTTGGGTCTCGTTTTAAAAATATTACAACTTTTGTAGCTGATCCTGTGTGCTAACTATTTAACCTGGATTTATTCGATTTTTATTCGCATCATCCTAAATCACATAACCAGGTCGGCGGTAAG